ATATTATTAGATGACTCACTGTACTTATTCATTTCGATATCATTTGTTATCTATGGAAGAATATAACTTTGTTATACAACTTTCGGCCGTTCTTCAACCACAATAGATAAAATCCATAAACGAATGTACTATCCAAGCAGTCCGAAGATGTGAAGAAATGCTTGTAGTAGAAAGATACACATTAAAAATGTTGTAAAAAAAATAAGAATGAAATGCACATTCAACCATTACACGTAAAACATGTAATAAGGTATCCAATATCGTAGTGAAAGTCAGCTTGTGAAGATCAATCATCATAACAGTTGAACACCAGGGCGTTTAATTAGGATAACGAGGAGATATATAAGCTCGACCCTACAACTTTCCTGGTAAGCTATGACATATCTTCACTGTTAAAACAAGTACCAGTTAATGAATCTAGAATCTTTGCTTTAGAATCCATTGCCAACGAGAAAACAACCAAATGCCATGTTAAAACAGATAACGTATAGGAGGCCTCCATTATTGTTTTCAAACAGTTATTATGATCAAACCAACGGTATTGGTATGGACAGTCCAATAGAACAGGTCTTATCCAACCTTTTCATGTGTAAACTGGAATTAAATACGTTAGAAAAGTCCTTACATACTCCAGTTTACTGGTTCGGGTAGGACGATGATAAGTTTACATGTCATACAAGTAATAAAAAAAAATTGCAAAAATTAAGTATGATGTAGGGATGGCAATGCCAAAAAGTATGGAAACAAGGTAGGGATGGATACACAAAACCGTACAAAAACCACAACATAATTAGCCAAATATTTCCAAGAATAGCTTTTATCTACAACTAAATGTTGAATTCCTGTCAATTGCATAACTTCGTGTTCAATAAAGGCATTCAAACTGAATAGTGCGATACAGTTTTACAGTGCCAAATAACCATACGCTTGTATCATTGACTCAGTAGTTATTGGCTACATATATAGGGATTTTTGTATGGTTTGTTTATTCATCCCTACCTTGTTTCTGTAATCTTTGGCATTGCCATCCCTACATCATCCTTATTTTTTTTTCTATTTTGTTTATTACTTGTATGACATGTAAACTGAACTCACTGCTAAGTAATAGTTTCCCTTTTTATTATTTCCACACAAAAATACATGTGATAGAAGAACAAAATAATAGTACTGTTATACAAGCTGTGAATGCAATTAGGCGCTCAAATAAGGCTATAACTCAACCTTAGCAGTTTAGAGTAATAGATTGAATGCGGCAGCCATTTTTTTTCCTATATAATAAACAGTACCATACTTATTGATAAATGTGGACCGCTCTACAATGTTTCTTTCAAACACTTAAACAGATCACTTACAAGCATATCTTTTATGATGCAAATGGAATGTTTTTATTGGAAGAATTGGGGAAAAAACGGGTTTACCTCAGATCAACATACACACACAATGAACTATATCTCAACAGGGACTTGGACATATCACAGAAGATACATATAATATCTACTCGTTCGAACAATGCAAATCACAGAAGAGTGGTACAGTATAACATTTTCGATTTGAAACAATGATTATTGGATATGCAACAATAATTATCATTTTTAAACAAGAGGGAATCCTCAATAGCCGCGACACTTAATTCTTTAGGCAGAATTAGAGTAAATTAATCTACGAAACTTTTTTTTCCCCTTTTTATCAACAATATTTTTGTGCACCAGCAATACCAAGCGTAGGGGTGCGTATACCCGATTAAATTTTAATACTCATCAGGAGCTTTACCAGCCTACCCTCAAATTGAAATTATTTTAGACAGGATTAGAACAAATTAATCTATGAGACCTTGGGCGTGTCGAATATATCAATCGAAAGGGTCTGACCTCTTGAGTTCAAAAATATAATTAGATCACAAATCGGTCAAAATATGACGGAGATGTGAGCTAAAAATTTGTACTTGAAAAACAAAAACAACAACTCAGAGCCATTCTATGAGCCGATATGCCGCGGCTAAAAACGAGCATACGATGTGTAACATTAATTGCCACTTTTTTACAATGGTCATACGATAATAATTCCCAGTTTTAAACAATGATCATAGAACATGTAAGATTAATCAAACAATCGAAGGGTTCAAAAAAAAAATGGGATCCTGGAAACGTTTTTCATAAAACAATGGGCAACTGTCTAAATAAAAAAAAATAGAAATAAAATAAAAAATCGCCTAATAATGTTACTTTTTGTTCCTTACCCGGACGATGTATTTCAAACTTAATATTAAAACGTATGACATGATGACTCATGCTCATGTTTCATGAATGTTAAAAATTCTACATAGGCGAAACAGCTGGCACATTAATATCAATAGAGACACATATGTATAATTGAGTGTATTATCTCTGCACAAATATATATACATACTGGTACTTTGACGTATATATATATGTGTAACAGTACAAGTACAACGTATGCTTATTTTGTTATATCTATAAACACTAACAGAGAACTTGCAAAACATATACGGCCAAACTGGTATCTTGATTGCAACAGTACTTCTTAAAATACAGGATTTATAGAACAATACAAACTATTTCTAATCGCAGACACTGAAATCTTTAAGTCCACTTGTCTTAATCCTGAATAAAGAGATAAAGTAACACCGTAACTTGTGTACGTTTTTCTGCTTTAGTTTAGTTAGGGCTAAACGTTCATGTACTTAATACTATCAGTAAATAAACTTATAACGTTATTGAACAACCTAACGTTAGACCTTTATAAAAACTTTGATAAACTTTTAAAATGTTGTATAAAATGTCTACTAAAGTGTATTTACGTCCTTTCTGGCGTAAATCGACGATCTGACAAAGACACGTTTTCAAATCGCGAAAAAGGTTCAATTTTTTGAACATTTTAGTCCAAATATATATTTAACTGTCGATCAATCGTAAACTATTCGCTTCTAATTGACAGAAAGTCAGACTATTTAATTAGTTGCTATAACATCAGTGCGTGACCGAGAGACAGACAGATACACACACACTGTGTTTTATAGTATTAGATTTTCCCTGGAAGTAATGAAATTCGGCCTGATTCTAGGATCCCGTAACAACCACTATCTATGTACGACTTCCATGTCTATCATATTTTCACTGGTGTAAAGATGAAATATTAGCACTATTCCTTGTGCAAATATTAGTAGAATGGTTGTTGAAGAAACCACCAAGAAGATTGTAAAAATTGAAATATTTAATTTTCCAAAAAGTTTGTCTTCAACTTTTTGTGCTAGTGTCTTTCTTCAGGTGAAGTGGTGTTTGTTTGTTTGTAATTAAGCACAAAGCTACACAATGGTCTATCTGTGCTTCGCCCACCACGGGGATCGAAACCCGGATTCTAGCGTTGTAAGTCCGCAGACATACCGAGGGGCTTCAAAACGGTTCTTACCGAATTGTGCTTTACGTTTGATGTGAAAGTGTGTTCAAATCAAAAAAGGATTGTGAAGTTGATTGTGAAGTTGTGACTACTGAATTAAGAATCGCATAAGTCGCATCAATGCGTCTAAATATTACAATATGAATAAAGATACGTTCATAGAATCTATACTATTGTCGCAGTCTTTTCTAACACATCCAGTATAGATGTTAAAAGATATGACGTCAAAGTTAAATATTTACCCGAATTAAATTATATTGAATGTAAATATAGTATATATATTAAACGTACTTGCCCACCAGGGTTCTTGAACGTGTTTTGTTTCAAGAATAAGTAATACTAAAATTGAGAGTAACAAATTTTTATTTTTAGCTTTTGAAGTTTATGTGTTATTCTGTTTTATAGCCTCCAGAGTGCATAATTCTTCTCTTAATTCATGGCATGCAGACGTTTTACTGACGTCACGACAGTACCAATTGCAATGTTAAGCGTACGTGACATGACTGACAGGTAACACACTACTGTATAGTGGTCTGAATGGTTGAAACAGGTGGCCCCTTTTGGAGAAATAAGAAAAAGCATCAAAACGTTTTTAAGTCTCACGCTGTATGTAGTTTACAGAAGTACCCCTGGATGCTGGCTTTAGTGTAGATACTTGGCATTCTAACTTGGTGTGACCTAATGCTAAGCATACCGAACTGCGAATGCGAATCGGAAGGTCTAAGGTTGGAACCGTGATATGTCGCTCAAGTGCTGTGTACTTTGAGCCGTGTATGTTTCGTGTGGGGTGGGGATGGAGACAATCAGTCTCGATACTCAGAGTGAAGTAATCGTATATATTATAGACGGCAGGTTATTTTCAGATTAAATATATGAACATAAGTGCCAAGCTTCCGAGTTTCCACTATTTTTTGAACGTAGGCGTATCTGTACAGTTCCTTCATACAGCCCCCCTCAGTGGCACAGCGGAATGTCTGCGGACTTACAACGCTAGAAACCAGTTTTCGATACCCGTGATGGGCAGAGAACAGATAGCCCATTGTGTAACTTTATGCATAATTAAATTACAAACAAACTATTACAATCCTTCATACAGTGTATTGGCTTAATAGGTACGACAATAGATGCTTGACTCTAGGCAAGTCATAAACAGCGTATTCGACATCATATTTTAAGCGAATATTAAAAGGTGTAGACAAGGAATGAAACAGATTTAATATATTCTAGACTAGACTATCTTGCCGGTTTCACAGTGGTTTCAGCACGTATATGCTCCAGTTGATTTCCACCACTCGCGAAAGGATAACTCATTCTCTTTATTTTTAATACTTAATTATCTTTTTTTTTCTGACTTAGAGTAGTTGCATTACTGAGACATAACACAGCTAGTGGGGGAAGACAGGTGTCCGTCAGTGTTCTGTTTCTTGTCATTTCTAGTCTGAACGACTTAGAATCCGCCAGCTGACTAAGTTTCTGTTCAACATAAACTTGCTTTATGATCAGAGAACAATATATATAACACAATAATTAAAATGCAGTCAGAAATTGATATAGAAGGTTTCGAATACAAAAGAAATGGCAAAAACATGGAGTTCGAGGACATTCTGGCAGAAGTTGGGGGTTACGGAGTTTTCCAAAAACGATTACTGTATTGTTTTTTGTTACCCATTACCATTTCTATAAGCTGGATTACTTATAATCAGATTTTTATTATGTCCGTTCCAGACCATTGGTGTTACGTCCCTGAACTAGTAAAGGCTAACCTCAGTGATCAACAAAAGATGATGTTGATTCGACCGATGGAAACTCGGCATCAAATGCCTAGCCAATGTAAAATGTACACCCTAGATTACTGCATTGATCTTTTGGAATTAATAAGGAACTTAAATTCAACCAAGAGTTTTAATGATTATGTTTTAGCTTCAAATACTTCTACTAAAGCATGTCGGGAAGGTTGGGCTTACGACCGAACATTGTATGACTCCACAGCCTCAACATACGTAAGTAATGTCGTTGTTTATTTTTGAAGTTATTCATTTCGTTCATGTTGAGCATTTGGCTATATATCCAATAACGGATCCAATAAACGCTAAACAAGTGCCGGTAAATAATTTATGTGGAATAAAACTTTTCTTGGGGTTATTCTTTATCAAACACTCTTGTAAAACACCTGAACTTGTTTCTTATAAAGTATTTATTTTGTAGATGTTGGTGATTATTTGTTTTTAGCCCAAAGTTACACATTGCAGCTTCTATTAGATATGCTGTTCGATAATCAACAAAGCTAAGTTGTAAGAAGAAACGTGGATATCAGAAATACTTTTATTTTGTTTGTTTATTGAATTTCGCGCAAAGCTACACGAGGGCTATCTGCGCTAACCGTCCCTAATTTAGCAGTGTAAGACTAGAGGGAAGGCAGCTATTCATCACCGCCCACCGCCAACTCTTAGGCTACTCTTTTTACCAACGAATAGTGGGATTGGCCGTCACATTATAACGCCCCCACGGCTGAAAGGGGCGAACATGTTTGGTGGGCTATCTGTTCTCTGCCCACCACGGGTAACGAAATCCGGTTTCTAGAGTTGTAAGTCCGTAGACATATCTCTGTTCCACTGGGGGGGCAACGAATTAGTTAAACAGGAAGATTAATTCTAGGTCGCAAGTACTTTGTTCTGTATGTTAGTTAACATGAGCAGGCCCGGACTGGCCTAACGAGACACCAGGAAATATCCTGGGGGAGTGGGAGGGGCGTGGAAAAGTTATTTGCTAGCTCTTTACCCAGTCAAATTTTAGAATTTATCAGTGAGCACTTTGACCGTGGTGATTATTTTAAAGTATTAAGTTGTCTCATCGCACAGAGCTGTGGTCTCCTATTGAAGTAAGCTTATGTTTATAAACTTGAGTTCACTTCTGGATAACACAATGAAATCAAATACGTCGTGTTATTGAAAAATTAATATTCTTAACGCTACCTGTAATTGATGACCAGACGTAATATCTGGAATGTATCTCTTGTTGAATATTTAGCTTTACAGCTTCTTTGGGTTTGATTGAAGTTAAGCACAAAGCTACACAATGGGCTCTGTCCACCACGGGTGTCGAAACCCGATTTTTAGCGTTGTAAGTCTGCGGACATACCGCTGTGCCACTGGGAGAGGGGGGCATTTCTTTAGGAGGAGCTCCAACTTCACTATTTAAGTGATACTACTTGAAATGCTAGCCCTGATGAAGTCAAAACGGAGAGAAGTTGGATGAAATAAAACGTTTATTATAATTAGCAAAATGTCTAAATCTCTACAAATTCTTTAGAAAAAATAACAGTAATTTAAAACAATCTTGACTTTAAAATATTCAAACATTTGGATTTAGTATTAATAACCCTGAATTAATAATCAGGCTAAAATTATCTTTCGTATTAAACACTATATTACAGGAGTCATTAAGAGTAACTGTTTTGTATAACTTAGGAAATATATGTTTATTCATTATAAAAACGAAACAAGAAAAATTGAAAAAAAGTCACAACTTAAGAAAACGAAAGCGTAAAAAAGGTAGAAACATTATATAAAATGAACAAAAAGGACTACGAAAGAATTAGAAAATACACGATTTAACTTGTACAAGAATAAATAGTTTCGGCCACCAAACAACCGACGATAGCTCAGTTGGTAGAGCGGTGGACTGTAGTCAGATAACTGTTATCAATAGGTCGGTGGTTCAAATCCGCCTCGTCGGAACTTTTAAATATTTTATTTTTCTGATACTTTAGTATTTATTTGGAAATAGATATCCTTATAATTGTTGAAACATTACTAACTTTACAAAGATCGTTACTTATTGATAAAAACTGTTCTAAATCTTTCATGCTGTTATATAAGTTTGTTTTCCTGCCAATTATTAAAACGATTTGCATCGTAAAAGATAAGCTGGGATGTAGTTTGTTTGTGGAATTTCGCTCACAGATACTCGAGGAGTATCTGCTGTAATCCCTAATATAGAAGTGATAGACTATCTGTAATAATAGTCTATCACTTCTATATTAGGGATTACAGATAGTCTATCACTTCTATATTAGGGATAACAGATAGTCTATCACTTCTATATTAGGGATAACAGATAGTCTATCACTTCTATATTAGGGATTACAGATAGTCTATCACTTCTATATTAGGGATAACAGATAGTCTATCACTTCTATATTAGGGATTACAGATAGTCTATCACTTCTATATTAGGGATTACAGATAGTCTATCACTTCTATATTAGGGATAACAGATAGTCTATCACTTCTATATTAG